AGACATAACACTCAGGATTCCCGAGAAATGACACGACTTAAGAACACACTTAGAGAATCATTGCTTTTAAGATCAGTTGATTGAAAGTCAAGCAAAGGTGGTTTGACAAGCAAATGCACATTGTTTGACTTCTTTAATTTCCTGAAGTGCTCAGATTCACACCACAACCCATACGTGATGCCCCTACTAACTATTTATACAATAGTCACAACTTGCTGTTTGTGACCAAGCATCTGTAGGCCTACAAATAACAGTGACAACTGAAAGCATTTCGGCAAGACAAATCACATCTCTAGAGGGTGTTGTTAAGATTTCAGACCAAAAGCTTGATGTTAAAAATTTGTTCACCCCAAAAAAGGGAAATTTTGCTGTTAATTACTCACCCCCTGCTGAAAAAAACAGCATATGCTGGTAAGGTATTGATGCGGGTTTTAATGCTGGTCTTGATGCTGGTCTCAATGCTTTTCTTGCTGATCTCAATGCTCAGCACTGAAACCAGCAAGACCAGCATTGCAACCAGCATGCAATCATCAAAACATACCAGTCAGCATATGCTGTTTTTTTCAGCAGAGACCTTCATTCATCTTCAGAAAACAGATTAAGGCAGGGGTCTCAAACCACAAGTGTATATGCAACTTTACAACAATGATAATGATTCAGAAATAAATGTTTTGTTGGGCCGAATCTCGTTATATTTTTAACATCAGTTGCAGGTCAGATGGAGGAAGAGGCAGGGGGCAGTTTGAGACCCCTGGAAGTTAGGTATTTTAGATACAATCCTAAAGCTCCTAAATTGATCTTCCATAGACAGCAAAGGACCCGAGACTTTCAACGCCCAGAAAAGAAACCAAAAACATTGTTAGAATATTCCATCCTACATTAGAGGTTCAATTGTAAAATATATCACATGCCACTTATGCTAAAATTTTATCTAATATATATCTTTTTTTATTTTTGTTATGGAGATGAACCATGTCTCAGGGAAATGTAATGGATGGGAAGAGTATTAATAACAAATTTTTTATCTTTGGGTGAACTAACCCTTCAAGTTGCAGGAAGTGTGTTGACGTCTAAACCAGGTCAAAATTACCCACAACAGCATGGCTAACCCAGTTGAGAATGTAGATGAGGCTAATGAATTTTTAAGCTGACATCGATTTCAAATTGCTGTACATAATTATGATTTATGAGCCCCGTTAGTTGGCCAAGATATTAATTTATGGCTAACATTGCTCAGTGGGCTTGATATCCTTGCGTGTTTGTTTATGCTAATGAATCCACAGAGCGTCCAAGTTAATCAAACAGGAACGGAGAGCGAGAGCAAATTTGTGAATTTGTTGAGTTTAACTTATTAGATTCGTGGTGAATTTTAAATTTCATACCTGTTAAACTGAGCAATTTGGAGATTTGCAGGCTATGCCATTTAGACATAGTCAGAAAGCCGGCATTTTTTTTCTTTCTATTTCAGTTGAAAAGTGATTGGTATGAGTTACAAATTGAAAAAGGTGTTAGCAAAATGTGAGGGAGGCAGGGCAGCTTCTGAGTCATTCACTTAGTTTTTTGGCTAATGTGTAATGCTGTGTGGCCAAGTACAAATCGTTTGCAGATGCTACTCTCACAATAAAGCCTGTTCAGTTTAGGCAAAGGTAAATACTCCTACATTTAACACAGCTAGGTTGCAATAAATAAAAAAAAAAACTTGCTCATTCATTTTCTTTTTGACTTCGTCCCTTTATTAATCTGGAGTCACCACAGCGGAATGAATCGCCAACTTATCCAGCATATGTTTTACGCAGCGGATACCCTTCCAGCTGCAACCCATCACTAGGAAACATCCATATACACTCATTCGTACAAATACACTACAGACAATTTAGCTTACCCAATTCACCTATACATGTCTTTGGACTTTTGGGCGAAACCGGACCACCTGGAGGAAACATGCAAACTCCACATAGAAATGCCAACTGACCCAAGCGAGGCTCGAAGCAGTGACCTTCTTGCTGTTAGGCGATTGTGCTACCCACTGCGCCACCGTGCAGCCCTCCTGTGATTTGTGCATGAGGAAATTTAATCACTTCTTTTACAGCTTGCAGCATGTGAGATCACTAAAATGATTGATTTCACTATTTTGTGTATTTATTTTTATGTGGTATATTTTTGTGTGTATAGGCCTACTGTAAGTCATTACAGCAGCAGATCATAAGTCACAAAAGTAGATTTTATTTTAGAGCACTGCCATTCACTGCCATCTACTGGAAAGAGCATGGATTGCAGGCTAACAGAAGCATTACAGCAGGTCTGGTAATATAACTTTTTGCACAGATATTAAGTTTGCTGTAAAATCTGTTTAACCTTTAGATTCTTTTCCACATGCACTCACAAACATCTGGTTGGCACAGACTTTTTGTCTTGGATTGGAATTAGGACTTTTAAATTAATAAATATATGTTTAAACCAGCAAATATTTGAAAACAATATTCCTTAGTAATACAATCTGCTCCCTGCTTATTCCTGGTTCTTTTACTTGACTTTATTATAGTTATTAAGTGTTATTTATGCTTTTTTAAATTCATTAAATGTTTCCTCAAAAAAAAGCCATAAGTGTGTCACATTTAAAAAAAAATACTTTCTAAAATTTAAATATTAAATATTATATTTTTATTTTAGATATGATTTTTTAAGTGATTCCCTTATGGTTGTGTAAGATCATACAAAACCTAATTTTAAAAATAATGTTTTTAAGAAAAAACTAAATTACTGGATTTTTACTTATCAATTTTTTTTTTCCTATCTAAAGTTTTAAAACTTTTTTTAAATCTAATTTTGGCTTAGTTTTATTATTTTAAACCATTTTGTAGTGTTTCAGAACCACTGACTCAAAGAATATTGGCCTTTTCTCAATTTTGCAGTTCTTTCATAATTATTGTCAACTTAGTTTTAAAGGAAAGACTGAAAGTGTAAGGTTACATTAAAATTCACTTGTTCTCATAATTGTTCGCTTTAAACATCAGTGATGGGAAAAAAATACATTAAAATGTATTTTAAAATAGAATACCAAATACCTCGGTTTTATGTGTAACAAAATAAGCACACAAATGTATCAAAATAAAATGCTGAATTTTTGTGTTTTGAAAATACTAAAAAATACTTAAACAAAGGAGCATGACATTTCTTCACAAACCTTCTATCAGCAGGCATATCTGATCAATCTCTTCAGCATTTAACTGACTTAGTGATGTTAACAATGATTAATAACAACTCTGAGCAAGTTTAAGTCAGCCTCTCTGCCAACTCATTCAAGTGTATTTCTGTATCTGAGGAGGTATTAAGACACTTTTGTTTCTCTTTTATTTTGGTATAAATGCTGTATAAATTTCATACAAAAAAAAATCCTGTCTTGAAGATGATCTCTTTAATCACTGTAAAAACCATGTAATGCAGATAATGAGTTGGAACATATCTCTTCATTGTGTTTACATCTATTGCATGGCCAGTAAAATTAACTCCATCTCTTAAGTCTTTTATTTTAAAAGGGTGATATATTTCATCCATAAATTCATTCATTCATTCACATATTCATTAATTCATTCATTCATTCATTTTATTTTTGCCTTAGTCTCTTTATTAATCCTGGGTCGCCACAGCAGAATGAACTGCCAACTTATCCAGCACGTTTTTACACAACTGATTCCCTTCCAACCGCAACCCATCTCCGTAAAACAACCATACACATTAATACACTTATACATTACGGACAATTTAGACTACCCAATTCACCTGTACCACATGTCTTTGGACTGTGGGGGAAACCGGAGCACCCGGAGGAAACCCACGCAAACGCAGGGAGAACATGCAAACTCCACACAGAAACACTAACTGACCCAGCCGAGACTCGAACCAGTGACCTTCTTGCTGTGAGGTGACAGCTCTGCGCCACTGAGTCTCCTCATTCATTCGTAGATTTTTTTTTCCTTCGGCTTGGTCCCTTATTAATCAAAGGTCAACACAGCAGAATGAACTGCCAACTATTCCAGTATATTGTCACAAAGCGCATGCCCTTCCGGCTGCAACCCAGTACTGGGAAACACCCAAACACACACACTCATGCACTACAACCAATTTAGTTCATTCAATTCACCTATACCGCACAGAAACGCCAACTGACACAGCTGGGACTGAAACTAGCAACCTTCTTGCTGTGAGGTGGCAGTGATAACCACTGAGCTACCGTGCCGCTAGGGTGATGAAGAGGTTATTCAATTTATTATTTTTATTTTATTATTATTAATTTAGATTGTTTTCTGCAATTTTTTGTCTTATTTTCTTGGCATGGTCATAAGTAATTAATCTAAAACTACTATTATTTCTGCAGTATACTCACTCTCCAAACAGTTTTTTTTTTAGTTCTTCCTTAACTGGAAGTCACAGTTTAACTCCTTAATGAACACCAGTACACAATCTTTAGGTATTTTTTTTTTATGATTATTTCTAAACTTCCTCTGCATTTTCAAATCTATTCATGCCATTTGTCAGTTATTTTCTTTATGTGTGTTGCATAATTTCCATCCATTCTCCAAGCATTGACCACCTTCTTCTATAATTTCTGTTCTGATCTTAAGCCTAGGCAAATAACTTCCACCAAGCACCAGAGCTTGCATTTTCATAACATCATCATGTAGACTTCTTATAAAGTATTTTACAGTATTTAAAAAATACAAGACACTGAAGTATTTTGATACAAAATATTAACCCCTTTTCATCATCCCTATTAAATACAAATTACAGAATATATTTAGTATTTAAAATACGTATTTGAAATACATGTATCATAAATACTGCCTATCCCTGGTAAGCATGATATACTGTCAGTATTTCCTTGTGTTTTTAGAAAAAAAAAGTCAAATTTATGAGAAAATATATATGCTTATTAGGCTGACCACACAATCGAGCACATACTGTTGCAAACACACAATAAATGAACAAGTCAAACTCAAAAGTTATTAACAAGTACACAAGTGTCTTTATTTACGCAAGCAAGTTTGTTCCTACAGATTGAAAAGAAAAGAAAAAGCCACTGTCAAGCTGTTGGCACATTTATGTACAAAACCAGTTAATTTTACTGCCTGCTACAAAGCATTCTCAGCGAAAGTACAAAAAAGAAAAAGAAAAGAACTAGTACAGTATGTGGATAAAGCTAAAAGCAATGTCAGGGTAATACTGGATACGCAACATCATAACAAGTATAGGATTAAGACATGGTTCGGAAAAATCATCACAAACTAGAAAGGACAGAACTCAAACACTACAACCTAATAAGATATTTAGCTTAATATCGTTAGCGTAGCAACTGTAAATACTGCACATTTAGAAAAAAAATTTATATAGTTGACCCCAGCAAGACAGTCAGAAGTGTAAAAATCAAAATAAAGGATTCATTTTTTTTTTGCCTTTTTCAGTTAGTTAAAACTATTACCATTAGATGCATACCCATGCCACAAATAACAACTAGATTTACGGTTTTGACCTAATACAAGTTTCTTTTGTGGTTTTTAAAAAAAGCTGCATGACTATTAAGAGACTCAGCGCTGATTCCAAATGCACTTACACCAAAAAACTCACGATGGTCCATAAGTGCACAAAACGAGCTTGTTTTTGTAGATTTTTTGTTTCTTTTTTGAGACACTGACAAAAGTACTTTACTGCAAAAGTAGGGCAACTCAAGTCTGCAAGACCGAGCCAAAACACTGACTTAGAGTAATACATGCTTGTACAACCACATCCATCAAGTCCTCATTCAAAACACGTTTGAATGTTACATAAACACCACGTTAATTCAACCTTCCACAGTGTTTGGCAAAGTCGTTGCGATCAACTTTTCCATTTAGATTTATACTTCTCTGATATGAACGACGATCTCAAGAATATCACCTACTGTAACACTGACTGCCGAGATGTGAAATTGACATGAAATGTGTATACATTTAAAGAGAGATAGAGAGATATATACAGTACAGATCAGAGGAATGACTAAAGAACTGTTTGATTTCTTGCATTTAAAAAGTTAAAGCTAAAACTAAGCAATAAAACACCTGAAAATGTTATTTGCATGTGAGAGTATGGCTTGCGATGAATGAGAGGAAATCATATATTCATAGAGTCTCCCAAGGCAAATCCTGCTTGACCAACCTAGCTGATTTAAAACATTCTTTCAACGTTCCTTCATTCCCAATCAGTCTCCGTCAAATGCTTACTAAGCACCAGTGTCACACTTTCCATTAATACTGCGCACAGCTAGCGTATACAGTTAGGCCAAGCTACAGTATAGCAGTAAAAGTCACTTTAAGGTACTTTTTTTTTTAATCCCTGGCACTCTAAAGCTGAATTTGTCCAAAAACAAAGAATCTGTACATTGTTTGTGCTGTTGCTGCTGTTAAGTTGTGGCAGCTTGAGCGATTTTTGAACCTGTAAATCATAAGTTACAAGTTTGGTCACATTTTGGTTCATAGAAAATCTAAAGGAAAATCTAAATCTTGACTATTGTCAGGGTGAGCTTGCAGAATGTACTGTAAATCATCAGCGTGTAATACAAAAATGTGAAAAGTGTGCTGCTGTAATCCCTTTGGCTAAACCCCGACCCCCTAGTAAGACCCGATGAGACCTACAACTACGTGGTACAAAAAAAGCCACTCAACTCGGTGTGTTTATCAGGAGCAACAGAAAGGGGAGGTGTAGGAGAAATGAAATCGGACAGAGAAATTAAAAGGGGTAGTCAGAGACGTTGACATGGAGACGCAAACCACGTCCCTAGACCAACATTCTGGGTCACACCCGTACATAGCAAGTGTTACAGTTATTTACCTCCCCGTGCCATCCTATCCCTTACCCCTGGAAACCATGGAAATTAGCTTTTTATTTAAGTGTTGTTTATATATTTGTTTTCAGGGAAGGGGAAGGGCATGCTTGTGTATGTATGTATGTGTGTGTATACATATTTATACGTGTGCGCGCAAGCGCGTGCTTTATGTGTATGCGTTCAGGCGCTCTTTAGAGCGAGTAGAGTGGATATCATGAAGCTCCTGCTCCTCCTTGGACTTGATGTCCTCGTATTTCTGCATCCGGCAGGCGTCCTTCACGTAAGCCCAGTTAGCCGACAGCACCATCAGGTAGTGCACCTAAAGCAACACAAGTGGTTAGAGGGGTGGGTTAGTGTTAGTGCTCTTTATACCGAAAGAAGAGGTCAAAAGATTACTCGGGAGTCAACTTAGAGGGAATTTAGTGTTCCGGTTTTGGAGTTCAAGTCAAGATAATGTGGCAACCAGTTCCAACTGAATAAAACAAGCCATGTTAGTTCATTCCTGCATGTTAACGTTTGTAACTGCGGAGTTAACTTGGGGCGACGCAGCTTTATTAGGGTGGGAAGGAATCGGAGGAGGGGAGATTGAAACCATATTGCAAAATGGAATGGCATGGGTGTCTTTTAATCAAGCCAATTAAGGGACGTCATTGTAAAAGTGGCTGTCGTGGGCGATGGTGGAGGGGTCCTTGGTGGACAGAGAGTGTGTCGGGGTGTGGGGAGGGACACTCCAGAAACACCCCGGAGCTGGCCTCAGAAACGCGTGCAGTACCTCCCTGCGTTCTTAGATGTCAGACTGGCGTGGTTATTGATGAGGACAGACACGGCCACCACCTATCATAATTGCCAGATCATTGAAAAAGAGAAGGGAAGAAGGTTAACTGCTGCGCTCTGTCAACCCAATTCATGTACCTATAACTTATCTCTGATGGCCCTGTCATATATGACACATCATACAGCGCTCACTATTCAGCAAGTTTATCCTGATTGGTCAACTTCAGATAAATCAACAAACTGACTTTGAAATTAAAGCAGACAGCTCTCAAGTTGTTGTACATGTTTAAAAATGATTGGGAACTTGTAAGCCTCTCTGCCTAACTCGTAAGATCTAATCTCAATTCATGACCATATGAGTGTTAAAGATTTCCACACAATTTCTCTCAATGGGAAAAAAAATTGTGATATTCTGACCATCAAAATTCAAACATGTATGCCTTAAGGGAGGTTTCACAACTCCTGACAAGCTTGGTTCAAGCTTCTAGCATAGAGAATTTGCAACAATTTAAAACAAGCCACAACAGTATTCAATCATTTTTCGGTCATTATCAACAGTGATAAATAGTGTCCACTCCGATGAGGCCAACAGCCATTTGAAAGTTGTCCAGATAAATGAAATCTGGGACTGGACCAGGCAATCTAACCTACAGTGTGAAAGCACCCTAAATTTCTGTAAAGAACAAGCTCTTGTTGCTGAATCATTGGTGTTGTAAATGACTGTAATGTCATGTGAAACTGTGCCTCAGCTCATCGTCTGTCAAACTCCATGGTATAATTTTCTCAAAGTTATTAAGCAATAAGTATATATTTGTACTTGTTTAAAATAAATTTGGGCTTAATCCTCTGGCACGTGGACTTTACAGTTCGATTTTGAGAATTTTGCACTGCCTACTTTGTTTCCTTTCCAGCTGTAAAGCAACAGCCCCAGTTGGTATTGACACCTTGTGGACAAACTAAGTAGTGCAAAAAGAATTCAAAGCATATGTGCAAGCTGTATGAGTATTTTCTTGAAGAAATTTACATCACATTCACTGCACACAGACAATGTCAATGCATGAAAACTTTTGTGTATTTTGCGCTTTAATTATTCAGGGCATTGTTGCTTCTGACTTTTGTTTTGGGTGCTGAAAATTGGGTATTTGTGGGTGGTTACATTTTTTATTTTTTTAACTAAATGTAACTTACCTTTTCCTATGAAGGGCCAAAAACTAAATATCATTGATAGCTGTGGGCTGAAGATAAATATATCAAAAACTAATTTACAGTAAAGTTGCCATGGGTAATTTCTTAATTCCTTTCATAATATAAAAAAAAAAATAAACTGAAAACATTACATTAAATCATCTTAACGAATGCAATATAACTTTTTAAATTATAATTTGTTGTGATGAAAACATAAACAATCACATTTATAACACTCTGGAGTTTAATGCTTATTACACTAGTCATGCAGAAGCTGCCTTTTGATTCGCTCACCAAAGTCTCTGCATAGTCCACTGTGTTGTATTTACATTTTAAACTAAATCTGATTTATTTTATACCATTTTAATTGAAACATTTAATCTCAGATAGCTTTTTTTGTAGCTTCATAATAAAACAAACAAATAAAAGGTTACATTAAATTTAAAATGACAATCTCTAAACCATTCTCATATGGGATGGTGAGCCAATTTAAAGGTTACCATGGGCCAACTTTGGCCCCCTATAGTTAAGGCACCACTGATCTAAAGCAACAATGTTTTGCAACAAATTCACACACAATAGGTGAAAGGTGAAGTTTAGAATGACACAAGAGGCGTTTGACACATAAGATTCAACAACAACAGCTTGTTTTGTGCATCATACCTAGAGCCAGACAGAATCTGTGGACATTTTTTGGCATTTCTGCAGAGAATTTTGTACAAAATCTACGGACTTATGTGGAATGATTTTAGGAGTATCATAACTAAAAACTTAATATATGAAATAAAATCCTACATTATTAACTTTAATTTAATGTTTACAATTCGAATCTAATTAGATCCACTTTTTTGGTAAACAAAGCAAGTCTCTTATATAATATATAAACTAAAAGACAGAAAATATTACTTAACAACTGTATTGTAAATAAATCATATGAACATTTTAATATTACTATTATTATATCATAATATTATTAGTGAAATTAATTGAAAAGCTGAATAAATATAAATGTACACACAAAGTAAATACAAAGACTCAATGATGGACTAAAAATCTGTGTATTTCTGCACGTACAGATCCCGTGTTGGCCTAGTCATTTCTTAAAATGCATCCACATCATTACACAAGTGTAAACATTTTCAGTTCAAACTTGATCAAGGGTTAGTTTACATGTAATATTGAATGACCCAGTGATGGTTAAACAACCCCTCACAATCAGAATAAAATTTGTATTTTAGATTACATACCCAGTCTGGGCTACTTGGCCCAATTACACATTGAGTTTTAGGGGTCCTTGTAAACACCTGTGTTTACAGCAAACCTGATTGGTTCTTCTGGGTCTTAAAACCAATTTGGATGGCTACATTTAAATAGGTGATTTATTAATTTATTTTATTGTACAAAATAAGTTTGAGAGCTTTGATAAAGAGAAAAGACTTACAAGTTCTATTTACAGGTATTAGTTCAAGCCTCTCACTGTACATATGTAAAAAACCTGCCAAACATTTCTGTGTGGAACGACAGATTGCCAAAATGATGACTAAATGTTCATATTCAAGCCGACTGTCTCTTTAAATTTGGATGACTCAAAAAATTACAGTATAATTTATGCATTTTCAGGACAAAAACTGGCACTTGCAGTTCCTTTGCAATGCCACAGTGGGGAACACGAACTCATTTCACTCAATTTCCAGTGCTTACCAATGGGTGGCATCATTGCAGCACAAATCAGCCAACCGCAAGTATGCAGCAATGTTCTCTGAAAGGTATGATGTAATTATATAATCAAAGAGCCCAAATTATGATCCAATTCTGTAGACTCTTTGTTTCTAAGTACTTAATGTCCAAGCTGTTTTCTCATTTGCAAACCACGCAATTAAATTGCAAACAATGCAATTAAATGGTAAAAATGGGGCCAGATTTTTGCCTTTCCAGAAAACAGATGCATTGTTGTGCGGTTCACACAAATACTGCAAGAAGCCTGTGCAAAAGACAAAAGCACAATACACTGAAAAATACTAAGCTAAGGCACAGTGTGTCGATTATATCAAATGAATTTCATGTTACCTTTCGACAATGTCCTATATTAACCAGTGAGGACATATTTCTGTTGTTCAAACAGACGGCTAGAAAAGCTGCCTCATAGAAAATGGTGTCTCACAATCACTTATCGCTGTTCCCAACAAGCTTCTCTCCTTCCTTCCCTCTCCTCCTCTGTTTCCATGGCAACAACGTCCTGCATTTTCAATGAGCGGTGCTCTCCTTCTGTCTTTGCTCACTATTCCTGTAATTTTACAAGAGGCCTTGGACGTCTATTGCATTTAAGACAAGCCCACACATTCTTTGATACGCTGATTCTAAATAAGTCTATGATTTCCCTAACATACCACTGTAGGAGTGCTTAAATTTCACATCTTGCCGATGTCACTGGAATTGTGGGCTTTATTAAGCCCATAAATCAATCCGCGTTTCATTTTATTGCCCTAAAAGGAACTTTAGATTCAGGGAAAACTGATATGATGCAGTAAAGAAAGACGGCAGTGGAAAAGCTCACCATGGCGATAACCGCCGCTCCAGCCCCCGCAAGAGCGCAGACAAACAAGTGGAACGTCAGATCCAGCTGGAGAAAGAGACAAAAAAAGATTGTGAAGAGGAGAGAATGAGGATGGTTGTCTCTAGAAATCATCAAGCATACTGTAAAATTGCCATTTCAGTCTTTCTACGCTGTCAAATACAGTATGTAGAGTATGCAAAATAACACATACTATGAAACAAAGGTTAAAAAAATCAAATCTATTTTAAAACAATATCTACAGTGCTAATATTGGCACCCTTGGTGTGTAGGAGTAAAGAAAGCTGCAAAAATGTCCTTATTGTTAAATCTTTTCATTTTCAACATATTAAAACAAAATTCATCTTTGCTTTAGAATAAACAACTGCAAACAGAGTACAGTTTTAATCCAAATATCTCTGCTAAAAAAAAAAAAAAACTGCTTATACCAGCCTAGGCTGGTTGGCTGATTTTAGAGGGGTTTTGGCCATTTCCAGGCCAGACCATTACTTAGCTGGTTCCATTGATCAGCTAAGTCCAGGCTGGAAATGGCTGGAAACCTGCCTGAAATAGTCCAAAACCTATTTAAAACCAGACTGGTCAATCAGCTAAAACCAGCTGGTTTAAGCTGTTTTTTTAGCAGGGATATTTTTAAATATGGAAAGTTCATTTGCAAAAACTCTAAGTGTTTTCTTCCTAATATAAGCATTTTTTCTATGTCTTGATTCAATCATTTAACTTTGATGGCTAAGAATAGGTTATTTCCATCACTTTTACCAAGAAATAACTGAACATAAGCATAAGAGGCTGACAAAAATACCCATTGTAGAAGAAAATTTCAGATGACACTTGAGTTTTTTGCTTCTGAACTCTTTATATGTTTAATTATATGAGCTAAAATTATTAGCATGCTCTATAGGACAAATATTTTTGAAGTATAATAATTTTTGCTCTGATATTTGATTATTTTTAGTACACTAGCTTTGATTTGCAGCATAAGATTGTTGATTGTCACAAAAAGTGATGTGACTACAAGAAAATGGCAAAACCAATGAAAATGCCCATTCCTACACCTAAATTTCAATGAACTGGAATCTTAGTGTAAAAGGACAGTTGGAACAACAAATAAATCTCAGAAAATTGCAAAAGTTAGTTTGGTCTTTGGTCAAACTAAAAACCAACGTTGACTGCATCAACACAAGATGTCTGAAAGGGTTTCAAAAAGATTAAAAAAAAAAGTCTCAACCCTCATCCAAATCCAAACACAACATTTTTTCAGTGTTTTTTTCGTTTCTTTTTTGAGCAAAAGATTAAACATAAAAGACAAATAATTTACCCAACACCAATCCCTCTGGTACACCACAACTTACAGTATGTTCATAAAGTATATGTTTAGATTTCTATTTGACAATTTATAGACCATTTCAATGTGATCATTTCACTGGCCCATGAACATTTCCTGCTTATTATCAAACTATTTCTTAACTGAAACAAGAGGCAATTCAATCATAACTTAATGTTAAAACAGCTATCATACCATTATTTATAAACATGTGGTTCTTTTTATATTCTCGGATGCTATAGAAATTAAAAATGTAAAACAGGAAATGCATTGGGACCTTTGTTTTTGTTTAAATCCTTCAAAATGGTCTTTACAAATTCTTCCAGATTCTCCTGAGTGTAAAATGGCTCCAAACTTCAAGCTGCAGTGACGTTTATGTAAATTTATTGTGATATAATTTAATTACTCCAGAGCAGCACGTCAACAGTGACCTTTAACAGATAAATTCATGTAATAAATGCATGTAAATAATATTGTGAAAGCATGACAGTCCACTGGCTTAAAAATGAGTGCTCTTTAAAAGAAGCTGTTAGAAATTACAAACAAGTATCTATATGATTTACTATTATTAACTATTATATTTACTGTATATGGCGTCTCCACTGCCCTGGGTCAATTTTATACTTAAAAACATGGTAGATTTTACATTTTATTCATAATTTCTCTCTCTTACTGTATATGTCATAGCCTAGGTTGCAAACTGTAATGGCGGAATGCATTCAGATGAATACCATCAGTCAGAATAAAATAGGCTCTACTTCAGAACTGCCAACTGACCTCATTAGATTCACACATCTTCTTGAAGTTTTCATTATCGGCACACAGTCTTTTCTCTTCACCGATGGACACGATTCCTGCAATTGAAAATAAAAGTACGGTAAAGTAAAACAGCAGATTATTAGGGAGGTAATATGTCAATTCAAATGACAATTAGATATGTCAAAACCGTTTGGGGTACATTTAAAAGTGATTTTATACTGTTCCATAAAGGTTTCCTGTACCAGCGTGACATAATAATGGCTATTATAGTAGAAACAGAGATACACAACCTGACAAATTTCTTGTCACCTATTCAAGTTTTAGGAACAACAAATAATAACTTGACTTATAGTTGATCATTTGGTATCAAAAGTGGCTTATATGAAAGTCAAAGGCATCTAGATTACGCTTATTTTACCAAAATAAAAAATGATTATGCCTTGATTTTGAATTATTTAATTATGACAGGAAGGTCTGACTTTGCTGAAACAAAAGTCTTGTCAATTAACAGAAATAATGAACAATCTGGAATGGCAAGAAAGCATTCTTGCAGGACTCTGAGTTCATCAAGATTCTTTTAATTCATCTTCAATGCCTCCTCCATCTTACCCCTGACATGCTCAATAATATTCATGTCTGGTAACTGGGCTGTCCAATCCTGGAGCACCTTGACCTTCTATGCTTTCAGGAACTTCGATGTGGAGGCTGAAGTATGAGGAGCGCTATCCTGCTATAAAATTTGCCCTCTGCTGTAGTTTGTAATGTAATGCACATGACAAATGTCTTGATACCTCAGGCTGTTGATGTTGCCATCCGCTCTGCAGATCTCTTACATACGCCCATACTTAATATAACCCTAAACCATGGTTTTTCCTTCACCAAACTTGACTTATTTCCATGAGAATCTTGTGTCCATGTGGGTTCCAATAAGTCTTCTGCAGTATTTGTGATGGGATGCAGTTTAACAGATGATTCATCAAAAAAAAACTTTTCCAAATGATCAACTAGAAGTCAAGTTATTATTTGCTGCTCTTACAACTGGGATGGACGACAAGACTTTTGTCAAATAGTGTGTAATAAGTGTTGATATAGGTGCATAAATGTACTGTATTCTGCCAAATTTGCATCTTGTGGACAAAACAGACCATCTTAAGTAATTTAAAGATGCTGTGCTTCTTATCCAGTGTGCCACTGTCTTTAGAATATGGTTTTATTGTAAACAAATGAAGCATTGTGATTTACTTTGTTTTGAAGCTAGTTCTTTGTCTCTCCGAACTAAAAGCAATTCCAGTGTATAGCAATATCCAGTAAATATCTTTATTTTTTATTTTACATTTTTGCTTTGAAAACATTTCTTTGTAGACTAATAACGTAATACTTTGTTCTCTATAATTTATCTTTATAATCTGGTATTCAATATTATATTTAGAAATTGTTTCTGAATATATCTTGTTTAAAGTGTAATTAATTAAATTGAGCAGTACTGTCATATAGTACATACATACAGTAGATTCCAATAATAAACAAATGCACAAAAACTCCAATGCTGCTTAAAATGGAAAGATGAATTTGCAAAGCCGAAAAAAATAGGAAAAATGTAAGTCAAGAATAATTTTGGAATTGGATCGCATCTCCCACGATTTGAATTGGATCATGACGTCCCTAAAGATTTGTCTTTTTAATGTTGCAATACTATTAATTAATGGCATTTGTACATGTCATAACAGCGCTTCCATCATTGGTGAAACCCATTGCTGTTCTGTAATGTGTAACTGGAGCATTTAATGATATCATAACAGGGTTTATCCATGAATTTTCTTGGTAAGCTTTTGAGATATGTTATTTTCTCTATTCTGGGCAATACATGAAGCTTGACATTCACTAGCTTATTCATTAAAACATAAAAAATACTGCAACAAATTATACTGATTAAACCCACACACTTTAACTTGGAATACATCAAAATAAAAAAAGTCAAATTTTTGTGATCGTAGTAAACATTTGACCCGCATAGGATTTAATGTTTAAAAGGATTTTTCTTAAAGAAAAAACTATTTATTTATTTATTTATTTATTTATTTATTTATTTATTTATTTATTTATTTATTTATTTATTTCCCAAAAGAAAGCTTCATGATAATTATTACTTTCAAAATTTTAAATTAGAGATATAGTTAAAATAAATCTCGGCACCACATAATAATAATAATAATAATAATAATAATAATAATAATAATAATGCATATATATATATATATATATATATATATATATATATATATATATATATATATATATATATATATATATATATATATATATATATATATCAAAATGGGCTACTATATAATATTAGGTTCCTGGACCTAAAAAAGCAAGAAGGACACTTTTAAATCCACCCCAGTAGGAGAGGTTGAAAGTGTAGAAAGAATTCTTAGATTTTTAAGTCATCAAGCCAGAGTCAGCCTTATAGCCATCTGGACTTGGGATTCATTATTAACTTATGCACTTAATAATCCTCAAATGTGACTAGAAAACAGCATTCCCATTCATAGATCTATATTTGATTTGATCAGAAATGTAGCTACGCACCGTACTGACGCAGGTCAAAGCAAAGGTTGGCGCTGTTCGCTGAAGAGAGAGAACCCTCCAGCAGAGTCATGTTCTGACAAGTGTTCCAGATGTTGAAGTACATGAAGACCGGCAGAGAGGTGAAGGCTGTGACTCCCAGCCAGGCCAACATGAAGATATAAGTAAGCATGATGAACTGAAAGAGATATGTACACAGTATGTTACTTGATAGGTTTAAAGAAAATGTCATACCGCACCATATTCAATAAACCAAATATTATATCAATACAGATCTGTCATTTCAAAATCAGGTGTATGAGATATCAGATGTCAAAACAAGTTCATAAGAATTATATCACCATTTTACTTGCAATAAAATGTTTTGATATCTCTTTTTACCAGAAGCAAAAGGTTAGCAAAACACAAAACTTATATTAAATTATAAAATAATTGTGTTCCTTTTATGGTCATATCGCCGTTCCCTAATAAAATATATTATAAAATATTTGAACTTTGAAGACCACAATTAAACGTTGATTTTGCATAATAATGTTTAAAGGGTCATGAAACTCTGATATTAGTTTTAATTGTAGGATAAAACTGTTGTTTTTTTTTTATAAGGGATTTCAATTATACACCATATAAATATCACAGTGACGTTGAAAAGACCAAAGTATTATCTTTGCTATGAAAGATGCTTTAAACTATGAGGTCATAAACAGTATTTGAAGTGATTGTCATATACAGTTGATTAGGGCTGCACAACATCATCATCATTATCGCAATATTTGTGCATCTGCAATAGTCACATCACAGGATCAGGAATGTTCAGTCTGAATTATAGTTTACCAGAAGCTATAGAATTGTATTTAATCACTGTATTTATTTGAAAAATTACTTACAATTTTGTCCTGTTTTTTAGTCAAAATATCTTTTCAAAGCGAAAATTAGATCATTTTACTTACCCCGTGCACTGGCAGATCATTTTAACTCTTAACTTTGACTTTGAAGTTGAAAACAAAACAATATATTTACTTGCTACAAGAATTTCTTTGATAATTAGACTAGAAACAAGACAAAGCAAAGTAAGAAAAGCTTTTTTTTTTTTTTTTTTTGCATTGTGATTATTTAATTTCTCTACCTGAGTAATGTTAGACTCCCCAGAAAATCATCAAATATTGCCATAAAACTCTTGTGAAACTGTATTTATATCACAATAATTAAATATCCTTAAAAAGACAGAAGGGCATATTGTATTAAAATAACAGCAAAGGTGCATAAATGATGACTGAATATACATTTTTGGGTGAACTGACCCCTTCTTCTGCGCATTAGTTCTTTTAAATGGTTGTCTGATCTTACCCAGGCACTAACACAGCGCCCACAGGTGGTGATCTTGAAGTCTCCATAGAGATCCCGGATGGCACCAGTGGTGAAAAATCCCTCCACCATCAGCAAAATACCATAGACAAAAAAAGCTGCTGCCACTCCATAGATCACATACTTGAAGATGTCAATCCTGAGAAGATAAAATGACTATATTATATTTCCTCCAGCAAAACGGTACTGTTATCTCACACTGAATAGTAATTCGACAAGATGATAAAGATAACAGTACGCAGAGTGCATCTGTAGTTGATGTAGCACAAACAATGCCTAATAATTCATTTCTTTCATTTAAATCATAGTTTATTTTGCAAGGTACAGCTAGTCAGCTTACTACAACCTCAGTTAATTAGCTTAGCTAAGCAAGTTATTGCACAACAGTGGTTTGGTTCAGTGGGAAAAAAATCTTAAGGGGCTAATAATATTGACCTTCGAACCATGTTTATCCCCTTTTTTTTTTCTTAATAAATACTTTCACATGCTGCCTGCATATTATTACCACAGTATTTGTAGAATACAGTGTCACCAGGCTTATTTTTTAAAGCTATACAACAAATATACAGTTGAAGTCAGAATTATTAGCCCCTCTTTGATTTTTTTTTCTTTTTTAAATGTTTCCCAAATGATGTTTAACAGAGCAAGGAAATTTTCACTGCATGTCTAATAATATTTTTTCTTCTGGAGAAAGTCTTATGTGTTTTATTTCAGCTAGAATAAAAGCACTTATTAATTTTTTAAACACAATTTTAACGTCAACATTAAGTTATATATTTTTTTCAATAGTGTACAGAACAAACCATCATTACACAATAACTTGCCTAATTACCCTAACCTGCCTATATAACCTAATTAACCTAGTTAAGCCTTTAAATGTTACTTTAAGCTGGATAGAATTGTCTTGAAAAACATGTAGTAAAATAATTTACTGATATCTTGGCAAAGATAAAAAAGATATCAGTTATTAGAGATGAGTTATTAAAAGTATTATGTTTAGAAATGTGTTGAAGAAATCTTCTCTCTGCTAAACAGAAATTGGGTAAAAAAAATAATCAAGGGGTCTAATAATTCAGGGAGGCTATTAATTCTGACTTCAACTGTATATCATTATATGTAACTTACAAATAATATTTTTAATTATATATAAATTAAAAACACTGACATGAAGAGCCATTCATAATGTAGTCTGCTTTGCATTTAGAGCAGCGGATGACAAAAATGCAGTTTGTTTATTACAGAAGCAATATTATGGAGCATTTAGAGTAAATATATACAGTTATCAGTTTATTATTTATCATTCTATAATTTACAAGTTATTTTTTGTAGTTACCATTGTTGTGAATGGGCCTTAGCTCAAAAGTGTTTTCATAAAATTGGATGAAAAGGCTGAAAATAAAATGCGCTGCCTCACACTCATCTCATGCATTATTTCTTCCTCCACCCACTCATTTCTCCAGTACTCCCCATCCACCCTGCTCTCCTTCCCACCGGTGCAGTTCCGGTGAGCAGGTGTGCTTGGATGATCTGGTGTGATTTCAGAACACTTAATTCTGTGAATGGGACTTAGGCCAAAACCCAAGCCCAAAAAAAAATATCTTGGCCAAAGTGACTGTGTGTGTGTGTGTGTGTGTGTGTGTGTGTGTGTGTGTGTCACGTTTCTTATGTGCTTAAATATGTGTGGGGGAAAACATATTCCTACATAACACCTGTCGTAAAATCAAAGGTTCATGGAGTTCTTTTTTTTTTCCATTCACTCAGCAAATATTGTTACAAATAAACAATTCTTTATAAACGCCTGGACATGCCAACAACACTAATTATAGTAGCATCCACACCAACACATGATAATGTTTCTCTTAATTTATGTTCTTGATGTTTCTCTTAGTAAAAGCTCTTTAATGCAATATGGACTATCAATGCAGGATTGACTTGACCATCAATGTTTCTAATTATTCAGCTCTAAAAAAAAATCTGCTGAAAGTTATTAAATGTTTTCTTTGCATTAAGCATTTGGTGTGTGTGACCTATGCCATTATTATTTTAATTTTTTTCTTTTTATATGGTTTTGATACAAATAAGTACAACATACAGCATTAAGTAATTGAACTGTGTTCCAAAATTAATAAATGCATACAGTATATACACATAAAATAAGGCAACAGTATTTCACACTGTGAAGCACAACAGGGTAATTCACATTATAAACGGGTTTTCTCAGTCATCCGTTGAGGCACCACTCTGAATAAAATTTTCCCACATGTCCATATCTCCATGATTCTGAAAAGTCAACACTGTATAATAATACCTGTGTATGTCTAGTAATACTTTATATTGGCTAAACTTGCTTCTTTTTATAAACCTTTTACTGTTAGACAGAATTCTTTTCCAAGTATCTTTGTTTATATCATTGTCTCTCTCCCAAATCAGTCTCAGGTTATCACAGTTCCTAACAGACACACAACGTCATAAGACGTTAGGATTAGGTTAGATTTAGGTTATCAGCGTCTAAGGACAATGTTAATTTGACGTCCAATAACGATGTGAAATGACATTGATATTTGATTCATTTTAAGTTCTGTTGGAAAGTGACCAAAATCCAATGTCAAGCCAACGTCATATTGATATATTCATTCGTCAGGTATGGCAGCCAAAATCAGGTGTCTACGGCATACTGGCAATGCCAAGCTATAACATGATTAGATGTTGATATTTGTTGTTTTTAGGTTGCGTTGGAAAGTAATCAAAATGCAATGTCTGTCTGACGTTGGACATTAAATGGGCTGTCTTTGGGTTCTGACATCAACACAATTTTTATTTCCAAACTAAATGCAACATGCCATGACGTTGTGGTACAACGTCAATCTGACATCATGTTGATATCCTGCTGGGTTATTACCATCAATCCTTAAGCAGAATTTATCAAATGTAGATGCTATTTTAAGGGGCTTTCGTAGCTCATAAAAATTGTCCAATACATTTTTTTGGGTTTTAAACGAGTTTTTGTCGACTATGCCTTTTTTAATGTATTAGGAATATTAAGTATTTTGGGATACCATTTCAACTAAAATCTTTTACACCTTTAACAACTTTTTACTCATCTATTTACAGGAAAGCGGCATTTTGGTGGCCTGAAAAGGCAAACCTTGAACACGTTGCTTGTTTTTGAAAATTGAATTTGAATACTGTTATCATCTTTGTTTGAACTAACACATAATATTAAACACAATAAACACAATAAACATGGCCGAGCATAGAAGCAAGTATGATATGCAGGTACATAGAGTTTGTTCAAGTAACATTACATACCACTGATTTTTTTTTTTTTTGTAAATCAATATTAACAGGGATTTATTTGACATTTTTATTTATCTTTATCCTTTTTTTTCATTATTAGGTTTGTTACAATGATCTAATCATAAGCAATTTAGTATTGTTACAGGCATAATTGCTCATTATAGACAAAACATTTAAACAATGCACAATTTATTTTCTTTTTTTCTTTTTTTTCTTTTTTTGCTTTACTTAGTCTATATTAACATGATTTAACATAATTAAAATAACTACAAGTGCTGTTTCAAACACAGACAAAACAGATATGTCCAGATTTGATGATTAATATTTAACAATAAAAACAGTATTGTTTGCTGGTTAAAATATGATTCATAATTTCAAAATATAAAACCAAATAAGAAATGTGTATATATATAAGGATGAAAACAATCATCTATTTTTTACAAATAATTTGTGAAATGTATATCTTTAAGAGTGATTTTACATTAAAAATAGTCATTTTCAATTGATTTAAAGGAAAACCTTTTAAAATGCAACATCTCATTTTCAAGGGGGTCCCATAAAGACATGACAAAAAAGCTAAACAAAAATAAAAAGTGCTATTGCAAACACAGAAGCTCTTCCAAAAAACAAAAGTGTAATGATCACTCTATATGTTAATCGTTATAGTAATGATCATGACATCTGCATGAATTGAACAGGCCTTTAAAGACAACATGTATTCATTAAAACTGCATAGTTATAAACCACATGACACAGAAGTCACATTAATTTATAATAACTTCAAATCTTGTGTTCTTAGTAATCGTATCAGATAAAACTGCCTCATTAGAACTTCTGAGAAAATTATTTAGTTCTTTAACATTCGAAAGCTTGACTTTTTTCCTTCCTTTTGTTTCATTTAGTGCAACTTTATGGTGCGACTCACATGGTAAAGACATCCAGGGCATCAACAGGCGACCGGACGACATCAAAGTAGGTCTGCAGGATGGTGACGGTGCCAGAAAGAGCCTCATGTCCACAGCCACAGAAGAGAGCAACACCGGCGTACAGCAGGATAGTGGCGATCAGAGAGGCATACGGGATCCCACTCAGACATTTGAGGCAGCATTCAGAGCAACCTGTCAACAACAGCAAGAGTCAGGTCAGAAGTGCTACTCATATGTAATAGATTAAAAAAATAATAATACATAAAAAAACAGATGTACCTAATTAGAAACAACCAAAATGCTTCTTTTGGTTTAATAATTTATTTCAGCAAGGATGGTTTAAATTGATCAAAAGAGAGAGTGAAGACTTTTACATAGTTAAAAAAAAAACTATTAAAAATAAAAGCTGCTCTTTTAAACCTTATAATAATTAAACATTTAGGCATGTATTTAAAAAAAAAATACAACAAATGTATTAAACAGCACAACCATTTTAACGTTTAATGTTTTTTGTGAATTGCATATAAAACATTTCTGTTTGTTGCTTTCAGTAAACATTTTACTAATTGTGTATAATAATTATTCATATAATGATGATTCTAAGTTTTTTTAGTAGTATTAAGATCTTCAAAAATAAAATATGAATAATAATATTACAAATTATGAAGATGATGAGTATTATAATAATTATTATTTTTATTTCATCTTCTATAATAATAATAATAATAATAATAAGTATTATTATTATTATTAGTAGTAGTAGTAGTAGTAGTAGTAGTATTTATTATTATTATTTAGATCTTCGACAAAAATAATCATTGTCATCATCATCATCATAAATAAGACTTAAAGAGTAAAAGGCATGTTTCCAGTAAGGAATTTCAAAGCAAAGTTATTACACGGTTATTTAGTGCATTCTATACCCCTGCTGATAAAGCCATAAACACTATTTATTTAGAGTAACAGCATCAATGGCCCAGCAATTCAAAGACATAATTCATTTATGTTTACACTGAACAGCAAAGACTAACATCAATTTAGAGCAGGACAGTTTATGCGCAGCACGTAAAAATTCTGAATTAGAGTTCCATCAGTCTATTACCAAACACTGACTGGAAACAGTTTCACTGGATAATATTTGCACGGTGGCAAGAGAACATCCATTCACACTTATGTCACAGGAAGGAAGTTTACTGTCACTCTGACCAATCACAGCCCCCACAGTTGACAGATTCATGGACACAATTCAACTGCACGCAAGGCAATATCCAAGGCAACACTGCAAAAGTCAAAAACGGCACCACTGGTGGTTATTCTGCAGCGCGACACAGCACTGATTTATGACTCATCATAAACAAAACCCACCAGTACAGGGGGATGAACATACTGATACAGATAAGGAAGATGTTCACTAATATGTAGACTACTGTGGCTTCGCATTATACTACAATTTCTAATTTATAACGTAATGCAACTATACAATACCTTTAAAAAACACTGATACTCATTTTGAAAACAAAGGGGATTATTGCCACAGCATTCATTAAAAATACAAGTTGTATGCATGTTTATTTCCTTATTTGTCAGAGTTTAAAAAAAAGCATGGCTCAGTGTTTTTTTTTTTTTAACAATTGTTCTAGTCAGGCAAATAGTTTTGATTTTCACGTTCCTTGTCAAATTGTTCACTGATCTGTTTTGTTTTATTAATTGTTGTTATTTTATGCAAGATATTCTGATTGACCAATCAGGTTGATGCATTTGACGAGTTTCATTTCACTTAATTTTCTTTTATAGCTTTAATTTATGAATTCATACGAATTAGTTACTAAACTGACAAAACGTGAACTAGTTATGTTACCCCATGAAATTAAGCTAAATTGGCAATACTTTTGGTATACACTAGACCTGTCACAATAAAGAATTTTAGTGATACGATATATTGTCAAAGAATTTGTTGCAATAAGTGCTAGTATTGTCATTTTGAGATAATTTTATGCCGCTGATCAAATGATGACTATATAACAGTATAATAATGCAAACAGCCATAAACACTTTAAAATACTTAAGGTTAAGGTCATTTAGATTCTATAATTTGATGTTTAAAAGGTAAGTGTCCTATTATATATACATTACCGATCAAAAGTTTGGGGTTGTTTTTTTCTTTTTCTTTTAAAGAAAATTATTCTGTTTATAAAGGCGGCATTTTAAGAAAAGTTAAAATGTTAAATATTTATAAAATTTTTTAATTACTGCTTTCTTATTGTATGTAGTTTCAAATAAAATTATTACTCCAGTCATTATTGCTTTTATTACTATTAACATTAATAATAACAACAATACTACTACTTATTCTACTCTTACTACTACTACTAGTAATAATAATAATAATAATAATACAATAATAATAATAATAATAATAATAATAATTAATAATTAATATTAGAGTGATTTCTGAAGGATCATGTGACTCTGAAGACTGGAGTAATGAAGCTGAAAATTCATCTTTAAAGTCACTAGAATAATTTATTAAATTATAAATTACATTTGAACAATTATTTTATAGCACAATAACATTTCACAATTTTATAATTTGTACTGTATTGGTGAGCAGGAGAAGCTTATTTTAAAACATTTAAAAATGCTACTGACTCCAAACCTTTGACCTGTAGTGTATATATACTATTACATTTCTTTATAGGTAAATGCCCAATTATAAACTTCAACAGCAGTGAGGTAAAATGTAAATTCTAAAATAGCTTTAACGTTATTTGTGAATATATATATATATATATATATATATATATATATATATATATATATATATATATATATATATATATATATATATAGCTAGCAATGGCAAAAATGATTAAGGTCATCCCCAAATATTGCACAGTAAGTCGATATATTGATTATTGTGACAGGCCTAGTATCAACACAAATGTAGATTCTTTCTTCTCGAGACAAAAAATGCCTTCAGCAATGACTTAATATAAGCTGGAGCTGAATGCTCACGGTTCTTGAGTTTACATCTCGTCCCAGAAATTCAATTGGAGCCATGCCATTGTATCTGCATTCTCCTCGCTCCCAGCAGCATCGCCCCAGAACCTGCTATTTACAGGAGTGTGGATAATGTGTATTTTGCAGCAGTGACCCAGCTGTTACAGACTCACACCTCCATTACACCTTAAGAAAAGCCTGCAGCTCGAAATGCACTGGAGAGCAGGAGAGCGTCACTGCATCAAAACACACATTACAGTATGTAAGCCTGCATGGCTGATTCTAGAGTAATGCACAAATTAAAAAAAGATAACGGCCTTTACTTATTAATCACACAGTGCATTAGTAGAGTGTGCTGGAATTTCAATCAGTGCCCAGACATTTCATACAGTATGAGCTTATACTTCTGGTGTAATAGTACTTTTGTTTAGTATTTAAGCAGGAATGCAGTCAAAGCTCAGTGGAATATGCACAATATGGGTTAAATTGTCATTTTGGCAGTTTTTTTTTTTTTTTGACCAAATTCTGGATTGCTTCAGCCCAGTATTTTTAAGGCAAAAAACAAAGTTACTTTGTAAATACATGCATAAAGTTACAAAGAAGTTTTATTAAAATACATGCCTTTTTTGAGTTATGGTGTGTCATAATTTATTACATATCTTATATCTTATCTTATTTTATCTTATCTTATCTTATCTTATCTTATCTTATCTTATCTTATCTTATCTTATCTTATCTTATCTTATCTTGTCTTGTCTTGTCTTGTCTTGTTTTATCTTATCTTATCTTACCTATCTTACCTTATTTTGTTTTGTTTTATTTTATTTTCGGCTTGGTTTCTTTATTAATCACACAGAAATGCCAACTGACCCAGCCAAGGCTCGTACCAGCAACCATCTTGTTCCACCGTGAAACCCCTATTTTATTCTAATTTAATCTATATTTTATTTTGATTTATTTATGATTATTTTTATCTTTATATACATTTAATTTTTTTGTTTATCCATTTATTTATTTATTATTATTATTAATTTGTATTATTATTATTATTGCAATTGTTTTATTCATTATGAATATTTATATAATTTATTTAGTCTTTCCTTAGCATTGTTAAAATGAGCATTGTCTGTTGTTGTTTTAATATGTTTTGTGATTAACAGTTAAAATGTTAATAAAAGGATGCCATAAAAAAAAAATACTATTTTGAACTTTGCAATTTTAAATTTGTATTTAGTTTTTTCTCCTTGTAACCATTTGGTTTGGCCAGTTTTTTTAAACCAAGAAAAATTATTAACATATTTAAAAGGTGTTATAGCTTTCTGAATACACAACCATTTTGTGAAATACCATCAAAATTCAGTTTACAATTAATGTCTTGTTAAAAATAGCATTCGTATTTCATATGTAAGCCTCTTTTTATGCCTAAAAAAAAACAGAAAAAAAAAACAGGATAGAACATTGACCAGGAGGCGACGCGGTGGCACAGTAAGTAGTCCTGTCGCCTCACAGCAAGAAGGTCGCTGGTTCGAGCCTTGGCTGGGTCAGGTGGCATTTCTGTGTGGAGTTTGCATGTTCTCCCTGCGTTCACGTGGGTTTCCCCCACAAGTCCAAAGACATGCAGTAAAGGTGAATTGGGTATGCTAAAATTGTCCGTATGTGTGTGAATGAGAGTGTATGGGTGTTTCCCAGTGATGAAAGGGCATCCGTGGCGTAAAACATATGCTGAAGTTGGTGGTTAATTCTTTTGTGGCGACCCAGGATTAATAAAGGGAATAAGCCAAAAAGATAATGAGTGAATGAATGAACATTGACCAATTCTGTTGCAATTAGAGAATCTAATCAGTGCATTGTGATTGTGATTGGCTCCTTTATTTAGAAGGCAGGACTTGCTCTACAATATTGTTTTGCATTTCTCCCTTTCTTAAGTACTATGAGTGCACCACCTTTGTATGTTCACAAAAACACTCATTCAGTTCCCCCTTTACCTTCTACTGTACTTCTTATAATTACCAACAAAAATATTAGAGCCACTAACGCTGTGGCATATTCCTCTATAATAAAATCAATATACCAGTAAGTGTTTTTACTATACAGTAGCTTGGATTCCTATATCCGATTGTCTGTACTGTATATCTAAATGCCCCTCATACCAGATTGACCATGATATTTTTGAGTACTGTGACAAGTCGCTT